TCCCAGCTCTGGCATTCTGTGTTCTAAGGGCCCTCCCAGGTATGACATTTTTTGTTCTAATTAAAAAAGTGGGAATGCCCAGGGTCACAGGTCTATTTAGTTAGTATTCCCTGCTCCATCCTCCAGCCTTGGTTGCTGCTGGCCCAGGAAACCTCCAGTCTTCATCCTGAGCCCTGGGTGCAGCAGCTGATCTGCCAGTACTATTCAATAGGGCCTGAGCTCTGGCCCAGGGGTGGGAAGAGAAAAGGCTGTTTGTTCCATCTACTGTAACTTTGGACCCCAAATGCTCCAGGTCACGGGAAGCAGGAGGGTGGGCACTCAGCAAAAGGCAGTGACTAAAAGTTATATTTCAAGCCCCAAGGTCAGAGACAGCACAAGCAAAGAACATTGGAATTGTTTTCAGCAATGATCCACTTAATCGGTACCTAGATGCTGTGACTTTAATTCATATCTAGGTTTATTTACAGACTTTCTGAAACATGTGAAACACAAGACACAGGAGTGAATGTCCAATACGCTAAATGGGCAGGAGTGGTGGGGAGAGGGCATGCCTTAGCACATGGATTTGAACTCAAATCTTCCTGACTCTAGGTCGGGAAACTAGCCTGAGTTATGAGTGGGAAGCTTTCGTCACCAATTGACTTTAATCTTGGACAAATCACCCACACCAGATAGATACTAAGGTTCTAGCTCTGACATTCTTTGTTCTAAGGCCCCCTCAGGGTAAAGTGATTTGCTCAAGGTCACCCAGCTAGTAAGTGTCTGAGGCTGGATTTGAACTCAGGTCTTTCTGATTCCAGGCCCAGTGTCTGAGCCACCTAGCTGCCTCATCCTGTTGTGATTATTGTATAAATTCTCTATGTCCCTGCATAGGTTCATAAAGGTCTGCCCATTTTCCTCTGACATAATTTCTAATGATATAATAGTATTCCATTCCACTGGCATTTCCTAATCTGTCTCGTCTTAGTGGGCTGCTATGAAAAGAACTGCTATAAATTTCTGTGCATAGGGGTCGTTTTCCTTTTTCTTTGATCTCTTTGGGGGCAGTGTGCGCGCTTTCATGACTCTGGACATATTTCCACCAACGATGTTCTGGTGTTCTCCTGCATCTCTCCAACATCGGCATTTTCCTTTTTTATCTTTTTACCAATCTGATGGTTTAAGGTGAAACATCAGAGTTGATTTTCATTTCTGTGTCCTGACTTCTACAGAAAGGCTTCTCTGTTCCCCTTTAATGATAATGCTTCATTTATTATATAATTTTATATATATATATATATATATACACATATGTATAATATATAAATGTATAATTTTAAATAAATTTAAATTTAAATATATAATTGTAAATTTTATGATTACACAATTAATTAATTATATAATCTTGTTTGCACATAGCTGTATGTTGTCTCCCCCATTAGAATGAGAGCTCTTTTTCATTTTTCTTTGGATTCCCAATGCTTAGCACAATGTCTGGCACGTAGTAGGGGCTTACATTTGTTTATAAACATAAAAAAAGTTAGGTCAGGTAGATTGCCCCTCACTCTCCAATCCAAAGAAGTCTGCAAAGACTTTGGTCCAGAAGCTTCATGCCTGGGACTCTTGGGTCTCTGGACCTCTGGATACTGTGTCTCCTTTGGAACTGGGATTCTTTCCGGTTTCTCCTTGACCCAGGATCCTCAAGAGAAGATCTCTCTCCCCTTGGTCAGCTTTGGTCAGAGTGGGGCTGTATGGGAGACTTTGGAGGAATGTGCTGACAGAGTCCTTTAAAACCTTAATCAGTCACTTGGTCAAAGTACACTGCTCAGATGGCCTCATAGAGGTGCAGAATTGGACACATGTCATGGAAAGAATTTGGAATCAGAACACCTGGGTTCTAATCCTAGTTCTGCTACTTAACTAGCTTCTATGACCTAGTCTGCTTTAGACCATCTGTAAAACAAGGTAGTTGAAATTGATCTTCAAGGGCCCTTCTAACTTTGACACCTTTTTCTAAGGCCTGTCCCAGCTCTGACATTCTATGCTCTTAAGGGCACGTGATCCTTGTCCTACCATCTTGACAGAGTTGGGATATGCTCAGTATTTCAGTGATCTAGGTGTGGGCATTTTCACTCTTAATCTGTTTTAAAAAATGTACCCCTATGACTTTTTAGATAGTCTTATAACTTACCCAAGCAACTTAAAGATGGTGGCCCTGCCAAGGTTCACCCTTTCTGTTTGTGCCCTTGAGCTGATCCCCTCCCATCTCGGGAACTTGCCCCATTGTTATCATTGAGTAGTTTCAGTCATGTCCAACTGGCAAAAAGTCAAGGTAATTCCCTCTCTTCCACCTCTCCCCCAGTCCCATTTTTGTTGTTCAATTATGTTGTCAATCAGTTGTTGCAGTCTTATCCGACTCCTGGTGACCCTATCTGGGGTTGTCTTGGCAAAGATACTGGAGCAGTTTGCCATTTCCTTCTCCAGCTCAGTTTTTAGGTGAGGAAACTGAGGCAAACAATGTCTAAGGAGCTTGCCCAGGGCACACAGCTAGTGTCTGAGGCCTGAGTTGAACTCGGAAGATGAGTCGCTCTGATTCCAAGCCCCGTGCTCTGTCCATTGTACCACCAGCTGAGTCCTCAGTCTTTAATCTCTCCCTGACTATTAACTTCTTGGGACACCTACAAAGATGCTTAAGGCTCCTTGATGCTGCCCACCCCATTCTATTTCTTTAAATGACAAATTCCCCTTTGTTTTCCTCACTTTCCACTATCCATTCATTCTCATCCCGAGTTCCCATCTCGCAACTGAACCTGCTCTGTCCAAGGTCATCTATTTCTTAGCTACTCAACTTTTCCTCAGTGCTCATGTTCATTCACCTTTCACAGGGCTCTCTCCCTGCACTTCAGAACATATACAATCCTGGTTCTCTCAGCATCCTCCCAAGGCCTGCAGGGCAGGCACACAGAACCTAGTGGCTAGGAAGTCAGGAAGACCTTTGTTCACTCACTCTTTGACACCTTGCAAGACTTGGAGCCTCACTTTCCCCATCTGTGGAATGGGAATAATAACAATATCACTTCCCTCCCAGGGCTGTTGGGAGGATCAAATGAGGTAGTCCATATAAAATTATGTAAGTGCTAGCTATTGCTAGGAGGCAGGATGGGGTTAGGAAGCCCTGAGATCAAGTTCTCTTTGAGATCAATCTCAAAGTGCTTCAGGCAACTCTAAGACCATAAGCAAGCACAGGTCTAGGCCCTAAAAACAGAAGAGGAAACAGGCCCAGAGTGCCTCAGGTCATGAAGGAAGCTAGTGATAAAGCGTAGACCAGAACCCGAGTCCCTCCCTCACTCTCTCCCTCTGCCTGGTGACTTTCACTGGAATCTGTGAGCAAGGTCAGTGGTGAAGGTCAGATGTCTCTGTCTGACCCCTGAGCTGGCCCCAGAGCTCTTACTTGCCTTGGCCTAATCCAATAGTATTATCTCCCTGAAATAAAGTCCATTAGGGGAGGTGCTGAGTCTGCACATGAGCAGTCAATGAGCTTTTTCTGGGCCTGACTCTGCATTGCTCTCTCCTGGAGGGTGGAAGCTTTAGGGGTTTGGAGTTTCAGGAAGTCCCACCTTCCAGGCCCAGATCCCAGCATGGCCCTCCTGTCCAGTACTCTGGACTTGGCCCTTACCACAGGCTTTAGCATCCTGTTTCTAATGCTAATCCTAAGCCTTCTTTGTTATTTTACATGCCGCCTGGCCCGGCCCCTCAGGTAGGTGTGCCCTGTCTCTGTCTCTGTTTCTCTCTCTTCTGTCTCTCTCTCTCTCTCTCTCTCTCTCTCTCTCTCTCTCTTCTCTCTCCTACCTTCTTCCTTCCCTCCTCCCTCTACTCTCCCTGCATCTCCACCCTTCTCTCTCTTTCAGCTCACTTATCCCTTACTTTCCCCATCCTCTTTGTCGTTCTCTCTTCTGCCCCATCATTTCTTCCTCTTCTTGTCATCCCTCTTCCCCTCTCCCTTTTCTCACTTCCTTTTCCTTCCCATCCCAGATATGACTTCATTTGTCCTTCTTTACATTCATTTAGAGGTGAAAAAAAAAGATGGGATGGGGAAGGGGCATCTCTGAATGACAGGTGCCCAGCATCACAGAACAAGTCCAAGGAGAGGTGGATTGGAACCCTGCCATTCCGAGAGTTTGGACCACCCCTCTGCTATGTCCACTCTCCCTTGGCCCTAACAGGTCCCTCTTTTCATCTCATTGTTTGAGCCCAGCAGAGGGGTTACTGCCATTACTAGTAGGTAATAAGTAACCAGCACACGGAGAAAGGAAAAGGGAAGGGGGCCCAGGCTGGGAGGGGAGGGGAGGGTGGTGGAGGGGGCAGGGAGGCCTGGCACTCAAAAGCTCCTATTCAAGGCCATCAGAGCATTGGCAGAGGGGATGGACTGCTTTGGGCTGCACACAGCCCTGTGATTGGGCGTCAGGGAGCCAATCAGCAATGCGCAGCCAGTGAAAGGGCTGCTACATCTTCAGGAGACAAAAGAAACTTGAATCTGGGCATTGGTCATGCCCTGTGGCAGGGGGTGAGATGGAGGTGGGGGAAGTTATGCAGACTTCAGACATTACCTGAGGAGAGAGCATGAGCACCTTGTCAGGATGGCTGAGTTCATTGTGCCTGGACTCTCCCTGCCTAGACTTTCTAGCATTCATCTAATCCAGAACATAGTTCTGGGACATAGAACATGTTCATGAAACACAGAACATCAGATCTGGAAAGTACCCTATAATATAGAAAGTCAGAGCTGGGAGGAACCTTCACAGTCAACTCCTTCAGACGAGTAGACAGAGGCTCAAGTCCAAACTGAGACGGAGAGGTAAAACATTCCAGGTCAAGATGAGCGAAGGATGAGAATGATACAGCCAGGGATATTAGTGTGACAGGGGCAAAGGCAAAGTCAGGGCCTAGATAGTTGAGGGGAGTGGACTGAGCCCTTTCCTGTCTGAGGGCCCATTGCCCAATCAGCCCTCTCTTTTCCACAGGATTGGCACGTCAGTGAACATCTGACCCAGCTACGCCTCAGATCTCCAGGCTAAGTCTGGTGGGCAGACCACAGACTCTACCATGCTTCTTCTCCTCCTGGGCCTGATGGCTGGAACCTGCCTCTCCTCCTTTGTACCAGGTAAGATGGGAGGTAAGGGGAGGGATAGGGCTAATGCCCTGGGTGATCAAGATGGCCAGAAGTTAGGAGGTAATAGGGAGCCCCTGAATTCTTGAGCTGGGGCTGCTGCAGTGGGATCCTTTCTGAGCATGGAAATCACTTTTTCCTAGAAGCTCTGTTCAGACTCCTGGGACAGGGCTCTGGGGAGACAGCCTTGGCAGCTTTTGGCAGATGTCCCAACTGCCTTTTCATTCCTGGCTTCAGGAAGCCCTTAGAGCTGACTATGAAGGATTATATGTAAAAGAAAACCATGCCTGTCTTGGGTGTCTGCCTGGGCATGGCTCATGAGCAGGGGAAGCCAAATTTACTCCCACCACCCTCACCCCGATCTTTGCAAGAACCTTAGTGTTCAGAGAAGGTTCCCTCAGCTTGGATTCATACCCCAGAAGAGTGGGAACTGAGAGACCTCTAAACCAATCCCCTTCATTTTCCAGAGAAGGAAACTGAAGCCTGTGAATTGTGAAAGGTCAGGCATGCACATATACAGCTAGGCTTTGAACCATTGCCTCTGCCCTCCCCACCACTACTGTTCTTCCCACCATATTGCTTCTTCCCTCTCTTCCAGCTGGTCCTGGCAGGGGTTAGGGTCAGCCTTGGGCAAGATAGCTGCTCACCCCAGGAAGATTTAAAGAAAAATTATTTATAACATTTATAAAAAGTTCTAAATTCTCTCCCTCCCCCTCTTCTCCACCCATTGAGAAGGCAAACAATATGATACCCATTATATATATACATATTAAGTCATGCAGAACCCATTTCCATATTAGCTATGTTGCCAAAAAAAGCAAGAAAAATAAAAGGGAAAAAAGTAGGCTTCAATCTGCAGCCCCATCAGTTCTTTCTCTGGAGGCAAAGATCGTTGTCTTCTTCAAAGTAGCTAAGTCATTCAGTTGGTCATCATGCAGTATTGCTGTTAGTGTATACAGTGTTGTCTCAGCAGTGTTCCGCTGCCCATGTTTTGTGCTCCAGGCTACAGGGCAGCAGAAAGGCAATTCTCCCAACTGGCCTCCTGGAGCCATGATTCTCCCTCCTAACCCTATGGCCCAGCGGGACCAGAGAGTTGACTTGGGACCTGAGATTCTTCTTAATTCTTGCACCAAGATTGAAACTAGAGTTCTCTTGTAGACCAGGTAGGGCAAGAAGATTGGAAAAAGATAGGCAACTGGAGTGTCCCCAACAGAACCAAGCTGGGAGTCAAAGAGGCCCAGAATTAGTAGTTATGGTCAACTCATTTTCTCTTTGTGAACCTTATTTTTTCTCTCCTGTAAAAATGAGAGGTGTGTACTGGATGATCTTTGTGTTGCCTCCAACCTCAGGGTGGACATCCTGGAAGTATAAGAAAAGGAGGACATGGTCACCAGAACTGGAAGTATCTGACTGGGCTGAATCATGGAACCTCAATCAGGGGCAGTTCTATCATCCAGTGTATGAGGGATATCACGCATTGTGTCTCAGTGCAAACCAAGGAGCAGCTAGAAGGAGGAACTGCCTATTCCTGATCTTCATGCAGGGGAATCTATCCTTATTCCAGACACAGGCATCCATTCTGAACAGTAGGCCCACGATTTCCATAGGCCCTTCCCATTGAAGCCTCTCCTGGGCATTGTCTGGGTCTAATCCCAGAAACTTACCACTCTTCCTCTCCACAATCGCTCTAGGTTTCCCCAAGATCCTTGTACATCATTGCCAGAGCTGGGAGAGATTGTAGAACACAGAAGGTCAGAGCTAGGATACAGAATATCAAAGCTGGGAGGGCCCTTAGAGCAGAGAATGTCAGAGCTGGGAGGAGCCTTAGGACACAGGATTTCAGAGCTGGAAGAGCCTTTAGAATTCAGAATGTCAGAGACGGGAGGGGCCTTAGAACACAGGATGTCAGTACCATTGGTGGCTAACCTGTTAGATTGTCAGAGCTGAGAGGGGCTTGAGAACCACCGTCATATTATGTTATAATATAGAATGTCAGACCTGGAGGGATCTTATGTTATGTCAGCCAAACCCCTTATTTTAATGTTAAGAAAATTAACATAAATATGGTCTCAAGAAAGTATATGTACTTTTATATATATATATATATATATATATGCATATATATATATATATGCATATATATATATATATATAAACCTATGCATTTTATATATACTCTCTGTATATATAGTATATATAAAATATGCTCTAAGAAAATTAAGGAAATAAGGAAAATTAAGGAAGGAAATGCCTTACCTGTGGTCATGACTAGTTTATCCCTTTTTTCAGGCCTGGTCAAGGTAGCTTATCAGTGTTTGAGAAACTGGGCATCTTGTCACCCATCCTCTTCCCTCTATTTTCTCAGAACTAGAAGGGGGACCAGGAAAATGCTTTTAGTGATACATTTCCTTCACCCCCATTCTTCTTTACTTCAGGCAGGAAATCAGCTCTGTCTCTGATTTGATGTGTGATCTGAGATTCGTGAGCCTCAATTTCCTCATCTGCCAAATGGGTTTAGTATTGCACTCTTTGTCAAGATGTTGCTTGTGAGGATATTCCTTGCTAAGCCTTTAGGGGCTGCTAATCAGAAGTCAAGTTTTCACATTCCTCTCCTCAAGTCTTCCTGAAATGCCTCATTGTGGCACACATGTGGTCCTGAGCTCTCAAACTTTTTGCCAGCAAAGCCCAGCCAGCCTGTGGCAGGCCCTACTAAGAGTCCAAGCCAAGGCTGTATGCCTATCCTTTAGTGAACAGCTGAAATGCGGACTGGTTTGTCCATCGCCAGTAGTATGGCCTACGAGATGGCACAGAGAATGTCAGTCTCTTCTGACTCTGCCTGTGGAAACTTGCTCAAACTGCTTCACTTCCCTGCGTCTCTGACTCCCCTTTTGTAAAAAGCAGGGGGCTGTCTGAGTCCCCTTCTCTCTAGATCACAATCTCTGAACCTCTCTGGGTTTCCCCAGTGATGGAGCTAGGCTGGGTAGTGGTTTGTTTGGTTTTTAAGTTTTCAACGTTCTCTTTTATAAGATTGAGTTCCACATTTTTCTCCCTCCCTCCCCTCCCCAAGACGGCATGCAATCTGATATGGGTCACACATGTGCAATCATGTAAACATGTTTCCACATTAGTCATGTTGTGAAAGAAGAATCAGAACAAAAGGGAAAAACCACAAGAAAGAAAGGACGAACAAAAGTGAAAATAGTCTGCTCCAATCTGCATTCAGACTCCATAGTTCTTTCTCTGGATGTGGATAGCATTTTCCATCATGAATCTTTTGGGATTGTCCTGGATCATTGTATGGCTAAGAATAACTAAGTCACACACAATTGTTCATTGCAAAATGTTGCTGTTACTGTAGATGATGTCTTCCTGGTTCTGTTCACGTCACTCAGCATCAATTCATTAAGTCTTCCCAGGTTTTTTCTAAAATCTGTTTGCTCATCATTTCTTTTTTTTTTAATTTTTATTTTTTTAATTTTTTTTCCATATGCCTTTGAGTTAAATTTTTCTCCCTTTTTCTCCCCCCACCCTCCCCAAGACGGCGCACAATCTTACATAGGCTTTACATTTACATACCCATTAAACATATTTTCACATTAGTGAAGTTGTAAGTAAAAATTAAAACCAATAGGAGGAACCATCAGAAAGATGAGACAAAACTCAACAGAAGGTAAAAATAAGTGAGAGCGATTCGAGTTCCATAGTTCTTTCTTTGGATGTGGACAGCATTTTCCATCCCGAGGCCTCTGGAGATGTCTTAGATCCTCGTAATGCTGAGAAGGGTTCAGTTTAACAGTCTTAGTCATTGCATAACGTGGCTGCTATTGTATACAAAGTCCTCTTGGTTCTGCTCACTTCACTGAGCATCAGACCATATAAGTCTTCCCTGGTTTTTCTGAGGCCAGCCTGTTCATCATTTCTTATAGAACAATAGTATTCCGTTACATCCATATACCACAACTTGCTCAGCCATTCCCCAATGGATGGGCATCCTCTCAATTTCCAATTCTTTGCCACCACAAAAAGAGCTGCTATGAATATTTTTGTACATGTGGGTCCTTTTCCCATTAGTTTGATCTCTTTGGGATAGAGCCCTAGAAGTGCTATTGCTGGATCAAAGGGTATGCACATTTTTGTAGCCCTTTGGGCATAGTTCCAAATTGTTCTCCAAAATGGTCGGATCATTTCACAACTCCACCAACAATGCTCATCATTTCTTATAGCACTATAGTATTCCATTATATTCATATACAACTTTTTCAGCCATTCCCCAACTGGGCACCTAGGGCAGCAGTTCTTGTTTTTGCCTTTTTTTTTTAATAAAGCTATTTGCAAATCTTTTTTTGTTTGTTTGTTTTTTTGTTTTTGGTGAGGGCAATTGGGGTTAAGTGACTTGCCCAGAATCACACAACTAGTGAGTGTTATGTGTCTGGGGCAGGATTTGAACTCGGGTACTCCTGACTCAAGGGCCTGTGTTCTATCCACTGTGCCACCTCTCTGCCCCAAGGGCAGCAGTTCTTAATGGGCCCTTTTAGCAGTCTGAATAAAACATATAAGATTACAAAATAAATCAGTTATATTGAAATACAGTTTTCAATTTAAAAAAAACCACCACAACAATCCCAGGTCCCAAGTTACTAAGAGAGAACTGTAAGACTGGGTTAGAGAAGAGTTGCCAGTTTGCACCAGTGGAGGGAATTTACACATCTGGGAGTCCCTCAGGATGCAGGTCTAGACTGAGAAGGACTCCAAGAGTAGTCATTGTTGGACCTTTTTTTCCCTCCAAACCTTGGGCCCTCAATGCTAATTCGACTCCCCTTCTCTAGAGAAAGAGAAGAATCCTCAGTATTGGAGGGACCAGGCACAGCGGACCCTCCAGCATGCTCTAGAGCTCCAGAGCCTCAACACCAACATAGCCAAGAATGTGATCTTGTTTCTGGGAGATGGTGAGTGTGGGGAACAGGGCAGCCAGGACCACATGTGGGGGTGGGAGGAATTGGAGGACCATTGCATGGCAGGCAGGGAGCTGATGGGTCTCCAGATATGGGAATCTAAAGAATTCTCCTGGAATTCTCCAGGGAGCAGGGCACAGTGGGGAAATAACCTTTGCCCTTGAGTTCAAATCTGACTTCTGACCCTGATCACTGATCACTCACCCACCTGCCTCTGTTTCCTCACCTAAAGGTGAGGGTGTTGGTTTGGGTCGGTCTCTTTCCAGTTCTTGTATGTGTGGGATATGGGGGGATGATGACTCTTTGGAGCCCAGGGCCCAGATGGGGGAAGAATAGATCTGGCAGGCAGAGCTCAGGCCTCTTCCCCTAGAACTCAGACTTTGTTCTGACCACGGGTTCCCATGAGCCTGGGGAGTCCAGCGCCCTAGTTGCCGCTGCTGTGGTTTGTGGGGAAGCCTGGGAGGGGCCAATTAGCTGCACTGAAGCCTGGGAAATCCTCACTCCAAGGCACCCACAGCCTGTGCCTGCCTCACAAGGGGGTAGGCAGCAGCTGGAGGTCATTAATGCCCACATGGCCACATTACTCCGTGGGTCCCAGCTTGGGGCCTGTGGGGAGGGAGGTTCCCGGCGCCAGAGGCCTTGGGAGGAGGCCTCAGAATATGCCGCTCACCCCCTGCAGGAATGGGGGTGTCCACTGTGACCGCTGCCCGGATCCTCAAAGGCCAGCTTCACCACATGCCCGGAGAAGACTTCCAGCTTGAAATGGACAAATTTCCTTTTGTAGCTCTGTCCAAGGTGAGCATGGTCTCCGTCCTCTCCTTCCCATCCACCCAAGTGGGAGAGGTTCCCTTGCCCTCACTCTGGCTCTCTGCCTCTGCCTCTGTCTTTGTCTGTCTCCCTCTTTCTCCCTGTCCTTGGTCTTCCCATCCCTTTCCATTTCCTCCTTCCTCATCCCCTCTCTAGGCTGACGGTCAATCTTGTCGCTCTACCACCACGATTTCCTTTCAGTTCCTTTGCTCTGTTACAGAGAGAGGGAATCCAGGCTTCTTCCGGCCTCCATTCTGAGACCTCAGGTCTTTCTGTCCAGGGAGTCCTGCGTTCTACTCTTGTGCTGTGTTGAGCTTTCATCTTGCCCCAGATAGAGCCTCTTGACTGAGTGATCAGGTGGGGCAGAAGGAGAGGGGTGTGTGTGTGGACGGAGGCGGGGGTGGGGGTGCTAGATGACGTATACCAGCCCTGGAGCCCTTTCCTTAATCCTGTGTTCTCGAGTCTCTCTGTCCATTCGGCTTTGAGCTCCAGGGGGGCCAGCCACCCTCCTTACCCTCCCTACCTCGTAAGGCCTTGGCCATAAGCCAGTGGGCCTCTCATCTGTTCCATCGAAAGGACCCATGTTAGCAGGAAATGCTGCCTGGCCTCTCCTCTAATCCTGGAGCCCTGTGACCTGAGGCCCACCTGGCACTGATCTGGGGAATCTTGGGCCGTAAAGATAGATGGCTGGAGGGGCCATGGCACACATGTCTCAGCCGGTCTGTGTCAGGCACAGGAAGCTTTGGTTTTTCTTCTTACTCCCTGTAAGTTACCAGAGAGTACCAGGGGGGCAGGCCTAGACCTGTGCCAGGCCTACAGCATGAAACAATTCAGTCAGGGCAGTGGGGCGAGGGCCCCTTGCAAAGGAGGAGGAAGAGACAGGTGGCAGATGCATTCAGAGCACTGGGCCTGGTTACGTGGTATATCTCCATCTCAATTTCCTCATCTGTAAAATGAGGATGGTAAAACTTCATCTACTACCCGCTTTCTCCATCTGTGTGTCTGTCTCTGTCTCTCTTCCCATCTCCCTGTTTGCCTCTACCCCAGCTCTGTGTCTGTGTCTGTCTCTGTCTTTCCCCTCTTCATCTCTGTCTTTCCCTGACCCATCTTTCTGACTGTGTCTCTATCTTTCTCTTTTTCTCCTCTGTCTCTCCTCTGCCTGTGTCTCTGTTTCTCATCAGATGGTTTGTGCCCCTCCTCTTCAGTTCTGCCTGCCCTTATTTCATAGTTGACATCCCAGACTGTTAGAACTGAAAGGGGCTTTAGAGACCATCTAGTTGAAGCCCCTCTTTTTACAGGCAGAGAAACTGAATCCCAGGCCACCCACAAGTAAGTGACAGATCCCAGTCCAGGGCTCTTTCTCCTATGCCTCGTAGCATCTCCTCCATTTAGTTCTAAGCTCTGAGAGCAGGGCCTATGAACCTAGCACAGGAGGGCCTCACCCAGTAGGTACTTAAATGATTTTTGGATGAATGACTCTTGGCACTGGGACATGGGGGTGGTAGGTTAGAAGCCTTTGTGGGGGCATGAGGTTGTACCTCTTGCTCTTTCATGCCCCAGAAGCCCCTTAGGTTTGGGGGACAAGATCCTCACCCGGGATTGCAGGTAAGCTAGCAGCATGAGAGGGTCTAGATAGCCTTTGGCATCACGTAACAGAGCCTCCTCTGCCCCTAGACATACAACACCAATGCCCAGGTTCCTGACAGTGCTGGCACGGCCACCGCCTACCTCTGTGGAGTGAAGGGCAACGAAGGCACCCTTGGTGTGAGTGCTGCTGTCATCCGGTCACAGTGCAATACTACAAGAGGCAATGAGGTCACCTCCATCTTACGCTGGGCCAAGGATGCTGGTGAGGAGTGGGGGTAGGCATGGATGGATACCCCTGGTCTAACTCTTTCCCCAGATTCCTGTGGCGGCCCCACCCTGAGAGGCTCTTTGGGCCTCAGCTTCCATCCACCTCACTTACAGAGGGCTCTGATCTATGAATTGTTTATTAAGCACCTACTGTGTGTATTCGATGGGGTTCGAGGGGGCTGTGAGCCACACCCTCCAAGGAGCTAATGTTTGTTTACTTAGCAGCTCTGCGGGGCTTGTTTTCATCTGGTCCTGGGGCTGCATTAGTTTTGGGGAGCCCCATGCCTAGAAATAATCCTCTTTCCCTGACTCAGGCAAATCTGTTGGCATTGTGACCACCACCCGAGTGAACCACGCTACGCCTAGTGCCGCCTATGCACACTCTGCAGATAGGGATTGGTATTCTGACAACGAGATGCCCACCGAGGCCTTGAACCAGGGCTGCAAGGACATTGCTCACCAGCTCATCCACAACATCCCCGATATTGAGGTGAGTGCAACCCAAGAGGAGGGAGCCCCACATGACCACGAGCCCTGGGGGAAAGAACCATGGAATACTAGAATGTCAAGAAAGGCCTCTAGATCACAGAATGTGAGCTCTGGAAGGGCCCTTAGAACGTAGAGCTGAAATGGATTTTAGAACACAGTGTCAGAGCTGAGAGAAGGCTTAGAACACAGAATGTGAGCTCTGGAAGAGACCTTAGAACATAGAATGCTAGAACTTAGAACTTAAAGAATTAGAAATGGGAAGGATCTGGAACAAGGATGGTGGAACCTGCAGCCCCGTCCTTAAGTGCAGCCTTTTGACTGAATCCAAATTTTACAGAACAAATCCCATGTTCCCCACCCCTGATCTAGAACATAAAATGTCAAGAGCTGTTCGAAAGCTCACTCTACTTAAACCCCCTCTTTGGGGACCAGAGAAGGGGAGTGACATGCAGCCAGTTTAGTGGTAGAGGCAGGTAGAGGCACCTGACTTCTCCTGACTTCCACTGCCTGAGTTTGTCTTAGAGACCTCCCCAGAATATCTCTTCAGCAAGAGGTAGGGACAGGTGGAAGGAAGGAACTAAACACATTCTTGAGATGAATAAGTGTCTCTTTTCCACTTCACTAGATGATGTGGGATGAACATAGGTAGTGGAGTTGAGAGAAGGAGATATGGGTAAGAAGGAAGGGAAGAGGAGAAAGTCCCCCCCACACACACACACTTCAGTTATGGTTGCAGTTGGGGGAGCCTCCAGCACAGAGCAAGCACTGGGACCTCATCATTTGGGGCTGGGGGTGTGGCCAGCAGCCTGCCTTTCCAGGGGCCTCAGAACGGAGGGCAGCGCCCCCACAGCTTGCCATGGGAAGAGCCTGGGCAGGCTCCCCACGCAGATCTGAGGGCCACCTGGGCTATTAAAGGATTTGAGGTTAAAGGGAAGGAGACAACTGAGGGGATTTGCCCTGGGGCTGGGCCAGGGGTAAACAGTAATCTGGAGCCTTTCTGGGCTCAGCAGATGCGGTGTGGGGAGGGGGTTCAGGCAAAATAAATTTTTAGCCCTAGCAGGCTGGGACCTGGCTATATCTGGGCAGGGCTTAGGGAACAGGCCTGCTTGATGACCTAACCAGCCCTCCTTGGGCTCATGACATTGAGGCTTCAGGTCCTGGCAGAAATGGGGTAGACCAGCATCAGAAGACCTGGCTTCAGATCCCACCCTGGCACTTTGACCTGGGTGATCCACTAAGTCATGTCATCCGTCACCTGGTTGGATAGAGAGCTAAGATGTCTTGTGTCTGTGATCTTCTGATGCAGCACTCAGAGGCCCTAGGTAGGCTCAATGTGGTCCCAAGGGAAGATCAGTGGATGTGGGGTCCGAGAGGAGCTACTTAACATCTTCTCTGGCCTTAAGTAGACCTGAGGCAGCTAGGGGGTGTCGTGGCGCACAGAGCCCTGGCCTGCATGCAGGAAGACCGAGCTCAATTTGACCTCAGACACTCACTAGCTATGTGACCCTAAGCAAGTGGGGATGCTTATAGCTCCTACCTTCCAGAGTTGTGAGGATAACATGAGAAGGCACTTACTGAATGCTTATCTTCCTTCCCTTTTTCGGTTTTACCCTTTGGCTTGGACCAGATGATTTCTAAGTGCCCCTTTTCACCAAATTCTATGATTTTCTTCCCATTCCTGGCTATCTCTCCCTTATCCTTTCAGCTCTGATCTCCTTATTCCCCAAAGACCCTGGAGTTCTCTTTCCTCTCTCCCTATCTCTTTTTTGTCTCCTTTCTCTTCTCACCCCTTCTCCACCTCCCCCAATTTCCCTAGTCCCCACGCTGTGGATGAAACAGAAATTCTGGTGTCCGCCCTATAAATAAATATCTTTCGCTTTAAAAAAAAAAAAAGACACCAAACCCGAAAGCCAAACATCAACTCTGTGATTTGGGAGTTTAATGAGCCTGTGTGAAGTCTCTGCCTGGGGAAGGAATGATGGTGTGGTGGGAGCAGATTGGGGGGTTCATTTTTCCAGGGCTGGCCCTGTTACCATAAAGATCCCAAAGGTTCTGGCTCCATGGGGATGGGAAAAGCTGGGATCTGGGGACACATTTCCTCTCCCTGCCAACCCTCCGGTTCCTGAGGCCTAGGCTGGGAGCCCGGAATGTCTCTGGCCAGGTGTCCACTAGGAATCCACACTGGGCCTGTTTCTCTGTCCCGGGCTTCCTTGTGGAATCCTGGCTCCCGCACTGCCCTGCAGGGAGTTGAAGCTAGACTTAATGCCTCTGTTTTCTTATCTGTAAGATGGAGATGGGAGGGTTGTGGTGAGGAGTGAGCTTTAAGCTTCAGAAATAGGAAGGTTTTTTTTGTTTTAATTGTATAAGGAGCAGCTAGATAATGTATAGTGGAGAATAGAGAACCTGACCTGGAGTCAGGAAGACCTGAGTTCGAATCCAGCCTCAGACACTTACTAGCTAGGTGACTGGGCAAGTCACCTAACTCTTTGCCTCAGTTTCCTCATCTGTAAAATGAGCTGGAGAAGGAAATGGCAAACCACTCCAAGAAAACCTTTGCCAAGAAAACCCCAAATGAGGTCACAAAGAGTGGGACAGGACTGAACAAGAATTAGTTTCCTTTCTCTCATTTTACTGATGAGGAAACTGAGGTTCAACATATTCAGCTGAATAAATTCAATAAACATTAAGTACCTATTATGTGCCAGGCACTATGCTAGGTGCTGCCCTCAAGGAACTTACAATTTAATGAACAGTCACTTGTCCAAGGTCACAGATACTAATATAACTGGCAGAGGATGTTATTTTTTGGTCCAAAAATCTTCAGGGTCTCTCTGTGGTGTCTATGACAGAGGATGTTACTTTTGTATCCAAAATCCTTCGGGATCTACTCAACAGCATAACTCCCAGACCTGCCATTTATGGTTGGTTCTGGCTTTCAGCTTAGGGCATAGGCTAGTGGGTTTAAATCTCAGCTCTGCCTCTTACTACCTAGACTTCTGTGACTAGGTTACCTCCCTCCTCTGGAGCTGAGAGTTTGACAGATATTAAGACCCCTCTCATAGACTCTAACTGAGGGTCTTGGGAAACCAAGTCCACCTGAGCACTTGGTCTTCAAGCCCAAACAAGAGGGCCAGGGAAGGAAGGGGACAAAAAGATAGCCAACCCTAGCCATGTGTCTTCCTCCAGGCTCCGTCTGGGCTGGTGTCACTTGGGGGCAACGTCCTGGGCCCCGTGCCCTGGGACCTGGGGCCGGGTCGGTGACAGGAGGACACCGGTCACTGTTTTGCTCTTCTCCCGAGGTTAAAAATAGCCAGAACTTCAAACACCAACTCCCAAGGAAAACAAACACTCCCGCACCTTCGTCTGTCATCCCCGTGGACGGCTGGTGGTGGTGGGATAAAATTAGGGTAGCTTTGATAAACAGACAGCATGTCCTCAGCTCGCCCTCCCCTCCACCCCTCTTGTTGGGGTGCCTGCTGTTTGCCCAGGGCTGTGGTGGGGATGGTTCTGGTCAGAAGCCAGACTGCCCATTCAGACCTCCCTGGTTCAGGACTCCCAAGGCAGAGAGAGATGGGAAAGCCAGCCCAGAGCTGGGGTTTTCTAGCTGGGAATTTGGAGGTTTCGTGTCTTGTGCCATTCCTGCATCCCCTTTACCTCATGTCCTTTGAATGCCATCTTACCCTGCCTGTTCTGGATTGGGGGGCGGGGTTGTGCTGAGGAGCAGTGTGTGTGTACTGTGGGAGCAGGACAAGACACATATAACTTCTATCTACCTCCTGTATGTCTTCCAGCTAACCTAAACCACAGCCCTGCCATAGATGCATGATCTAATTAACCCTCCCATTCAGGGCATGCTTTTTCTCCTTTGAGACCTTGAGGCCCCAGAGAGGAGACTTAGGAAAGGTCATGCAGCCATCCAAGCGGCAGAACACAGAACCAAACCCATAACTGTCAGATCAGAAAAGGACTTTTCTTTCAGTCTTTGCATCCTCCAGGTCAAAAAGCCCAGACATTTTACTTGCCTTCTCGTAGCAGATCCACACTGCTTTCTGAAATTCACAGCTTAGCCAGTCTTTAGCCAACAGTGTGCCTATCTTTCCCTAGCCCTTCCAGCAATGACTTCTTCTTCTCTTTTCATCCTAGATGTCAATTTATTTTAATTTGCATTTCTCTTATTAGTGATAACGAGTTTGCAATTCTTCTTTTAAGAACTGTTAGGGAAGGTTCTTGTTCTTATACATTTGTGGTTGTATTTGTTTGTACCAGGCCAGTGATTTCATTGGTGTAGGGCATTCTAGGTGAAAAACTTCTCCTTCAATGCAGAACCCAGGACAAATCCAGCAATTATTCCACTAGACTGTTTGTGACACCTCCCCCACAAACTGTTTATCAGTCAGCAAACATTTATTAAGCTCCTATGTGCCTTGAGCGGTCCCTGTTCCATCCTAAGGGCCTGACAGTGCTTTCTCTTTGTTTAGGTAATCATGGGTGGAGGCCGGAAATACATGTTTCCTAAGAACACAACTGATGTGGAGTATGGGGATGATGAGAAGGCAAGAGGGACAAGGCTGGACGGGCAGTTCCTCGTCAATGTCTGGAAGGAAAAAAAGCCTCGGAACAAGGTACCAAAGCCAGTGGATGAATAATGCATTTATTCCCAGATTCTGCTCCAGAATCCAGAGAGTTGGATAATGGGGACTGAGTCAGCAGTGACTCTGCACCAGGTAGGCAGGGACTGAAAAGAAAACTTAAGTGTTAAAGCCCTATTCTTCCCTAGAAAGGTTGCCAAAAAGAGGGAAAGTGATGTGATGAGAGGGGGATTTGTATTAATTTAACAATGAAGTGCAACTGTTGCCCAGGGGCCCCAGGCTTGAGAGCCCCATTTCTTATAATAAAATGCCTTGTAGATGATGCTACCCCAATACCATATCTATACTTACATTAGACCCAAGCTGGATAAAGGGAAACAGATCTTAGAGCAAGAAGGGACATTAGAACATAGAATGTCATCCCTCGAGACCTTAGAATACAACATCAGGTTAGGAAGATATTTAGAACATGTCAGCTGGAAGTGTATTTAGAATATAGGATGAGCAAAAAAGGGACCTCAAGTATCTAGCCCAACCCCATCATTTTCCAGAGAGTGGTTTGGCCCAGAGTGGAGCAGCTGCTTAGTAGCAGAGCTGGGATTCCAACCCCCCTCTGCCCCTCCAACCCAGGGGTCCTCCTGCCCTACCATGTTGCTTTCCAATGGTCACAAATTCCATATTCCACTCCTTGGGAAAGGGCTCCTTGCTGAGGTTCACCTTAGTGACTAGCAGACCTTAGGCTCTGGAGGGAAAAGTGACCTGAGGAAATCTTGGGTGAGGGATTACCCTTTTCCAGATCTATAAAATGATGGGGTTAGACTAGATGACGCTTAAGGTCCCTTCTTAACTCTTGAGCCTATGATTCCTAGGATCTGATTGGAGATACTCAAGTCCCTTCCAGGTCTGATGCTCTATTATCCTATGAAACTTTTCCACTGGATCCTTCCAGCAAGATATCCTTAGGTGGCCACCCAAAGAGTCCCACCATGTGAGCCATGGAAGTTAGCTCGCCCTTTAAATCTGGTGCTCCCCAGGCATCTGGGTGGGCACGAGGGGAGCCAGGAAGGTGGGGGAAGGCCAAGAGACAGGGTCTGAAAATGACTGTGGTCAAAGCTGCTGAAGACAGTGGTAAGCGGTTGTGGTGGGGTCAGTTTTGATGTGGCTGAAAGGTCCTTCTAGGATTATATTTCTAATTGTTCCTGGCATGACCCCCTTCTTCTCCTTCCCCACTAGTTTGGGGAGGGGAGAAGGCCACTGATGGGAACTCAGCCATCTGGAGTGGGGGAAGGGCTTCACATGCCTGGAAATAATTCTCATTATCAGATAACGAGGTTCCTAGGCCATGGGAGAGGCAGGATGATTACTGACACTAGGATGCGAATGGTAAAACAATTCTGCGCCTATTTGCTTGTGTTTTGCCTATGCTGTGTTTGCTACCTAAAATTAGCATGTCTCCCCTACTTCCTTCTTCCCCTAGTTCCATAAGTAGTGCTCATATTTTCTGAATGGTATGAAAAAGAGTAACCTGAATTGGCAGTTAGGGAATCATGTTTGTCTAGTCCTAGCACGTACTAGCTGTGGGACTTTGGGCCTCATTTTTCTCATTTGTAAAATTAAGGAGGGGATAGCAATGAAGGCTCCTCCCAGGTCCAACTTACGTCTGACATGCTGTGTTCTAAAAGCCCTCTAGCTCTGACATTGTGTTCTAAGGTTCCTCCCAATTCCAACATTCTTGTCTTCTAAGAGCCTTCCAGCGTCTAGCTAGCTAGCTCATTATTCTGTGAATTATAAGACATAAGTCACTGTACCTTCAGATAAGCCCTCAGACAAAGCTAGTCGAGTTCTGATCAGATGCTCTGGGCCATGGCTTGGCTTCGGGACATCCTGTGGGCCTGGCCGATTTCTCTACTGACTCTGGGCTGTCTTCTAGCTCTTAGACTGCCTCTGACCATCAGTGTTTTTTCTCCTAGAATGCCCACTATGTCTGGAACCGCATGCAGCTGCTAGAATTGGATTTGGACCGTGTGGACTTCCTCCTAGGTGAGTAAGAGAGAATGGGCCAGTGAACAGGATTAGGCTTGGGAGTAAGGTCTCCTATTTGTAAGCAGAGACAGCCCAGCCCATTACTGAAGTCTTGAGGTATCTCTCTTGTTTCAGTCATTTTCAACTCTTTTTTTGATGTCTTCTTGACAAAGGTACTGCCATTTCCTCCTCCTGCTCATTTTACATGTGAGGAAACTGAGGCAAACAGGGTTAAATGACTTGTCCAGGTTCACACAACTAGTGTCTGAGGCTGGATTTGAACTCTGGTCTTTCTGCCTCCAGCCCTGGTACACTGTGTCACTAGCTGCTCCACCTCCCTGGTTCTTAGGAGCATAAGATTCAGAGCTAGATGGCACCTTGAGGAAATATCATTCAACCGCCTCACTTTACAGATGAGAGACTACTCAGAACTGTAAGGAACCTTAGACAAAGAATGTGGAGCTGGAGGAGGGGGGGCACACAGAACCTAGAATGTTGGAACTGGAAGGAACCTTAGAACTCAGAAAATGAAAGCTAGGACCTTAGAACACAATGTTGACAGGTGCAAGGTATCTTAGGACATAGATTAACCCTGAAAGGGCTAAATTCATTAGGGAGTATTGAGAGGAAGGTCTAGGTCAAGCAAGGGTTGATTACCTCTGAGTTCCCTGTGTATATGTTATGACTTTGATTCCTGAGGAGGCTACTAAAGGGTAGGAAAGGGAAGTGATTTTTTGATAAGTTCACACAGTGGAAGGCAGAGGGTGCCAGGGGAGGAGTAGGGAGGGGAGCTCCCCCTGGGGACAATCCATTATAGCCACCAACAACTTTGAGTCCTGGGCCAGGTGCACAGAGGAAAATCAGATTGGGCTCTTCTCCCATATAAGGCCCAGTCAGGGAACTTGGACCACCCCTTGAAGATGCAAATACAGGGAGGGGAAGGGCAAGAGAACAAGTCAGCTTGTTGACTACAAGGGAGCCTGGGTCAGGGGCTGTGGGAGGTTCAGGGTACATCCTACCATGTGGCAGAGAAAGAACATTAATTAGACTTGGAAGACCCGAGTTCTAATTCTGGCTATGTTTCCTGCATGTGCAAATCTCCCTGGGCTTCCCAGGCCTCTTCTTGTAAAAGGAAGGGTGTGGCCTCTCAAATCCCCCTCCAGCTCTTAAATTCCATGATCCATCCTCCCCAGTTCCAACAGCACAGTTCTTTGTGAATCATACCTCTTGGGAACTGAGCAAGTCCCAGCAAGGTCACTAACAAAGCTTCCTTTGGCAAGGAAAGTGATGGTGGTGGTGGTGGTGGTGATGATGGTGTCCTTTATACTTTGCAAAGTGCTTTCCTTAAAATACCTTGGTGTGAGGTCAGAGTATCACTAAACCCATTTTACAGATGAGGTGGCTGAGGTTGGCAATGTAAAATGACTTGTCCAAAGATTCTTTGTCAATCGGTTTCTGGGTCTTAGTTTCTTCCTTTGCAAAACGGGGCATTGGACTGAGACGCATTGAATTGTGTATCTGATAGCGGGGCCATGTTCGCACGTTCTTATCCAGCCTGGGCTCATCGTGTACTGTCAGCACCAGGGGACAGAGGGCTGATTATTCCTCTCCTACTGTGTCCCCAGTGCCTCAATTCCCGAGCCCTGAGCTAGTCTCACCAAGGTCTCTCTACGCATGATAGGCTGTCTTCAAGGAGTTGAAGAGTAGACCTCCCAGGGGAGAGCTGGGGACTCTGCCAGCAGGTAGATGCAGGCACTATATCAGGGGAAAAAAACTTTCCAGCACTGACAGCTTTGGAAATGGGTTGCCTCTTTAGGGTAGTGAGTTCCCCTTCACTAGAGGAATTCAAGCAGAGGCTGAATAACCATTTATCTTTTTATTTTATTTTATTTACTTTTAATTTTTTTTTCTCCCTTCCAGCCCCCAGTGTAAAAGAAAACAACCCTTGCAACAAATATATGTACTCAAGCAACAACTCCCCCCTTGCCTGTGTGTCTTATTCTGCACTGTGGCCATCCCTTTGTCAGGGACTGGGCAGCAGAGTTAGGGTCATCGGCTGGTAGAAGTGTGCTAGATGATCTTTGAAGCCCTTTCCAGCTGTGAGATTTGTCGAGTCTAACACGCAGTCCCGGGAAGCATGGGCTGCACTGAAGGGTGCGCCCTCAGTGAGATTAGAAGCTTTGGCATGGCAACAGCCTGTGAAGGAAGAGAGACACAATGTCTTCTACCACAGATTATTCTTTTTTTTTTCTGTATACTACTGTTCTTTTTTATATTTTTTTTATTTTTTTAATTAAAAAAATTTTTTTAAATTATTTTTTTTCCATATGCTTTTGAGTTGAAAATTTTTTCTCCCTTCCCCCCCCCCAAGACAGCGCACAATCTGACATAGGCTTTACATTTACATACCCATTAAACATATTTTCACATTAGTGAAGTTGTAAGTAAAAATTAAAACCAATAGGAGGAACCATCAGAAAGGTGAAACAAAACTCAACTGAAGGTAAAAATAAGTGAGAGCGATTTGACTTCCAAGTTCTTTCTTTGGATGTGGACAGCATTTTCCATCCCGAGGCCTCTGGAGATGTCTTAGATCCTCGTAATGCTGAGAAGGGTTCAGTTTAACAATCTTAGTCATTGCATAACGTGGCTGCTATTGTATACAAAGTCCTCTTGGTTCTGCTCACTTCACTGAGCATCAGACCATATAAGTCTTCCCTGGTTTTTCTGAAGCCAGCCTGTTCATCATTTCTTATAGAACAATAGTATTCCATTACATTCATATACCACAACTTGCTCAGCCATTCCCCGATGGATGGGCATCCTCTCAATTTCCAATTCTTTGCCACCACAAAAAGAGCTGCTATGAATATTTTTGTACATGTGGGTCCTTTTCCCATTTGTTTGATCTCTTTCGGATATAGCCCTAGAAGTACCACAGATTATTCTGCATGTACACACTATGCCTCCTAGCCTTTGCTGCTGAATTGTACTGTGAAATAGACCTAGAGGTCAAGGACCTTGGTTTTTTTGTCCTTTTTTCCTCAGTGCCATGTAGCCAGTAGGGGTTTAATAAATGCTTGGTGGATTAGATGACCATTAATCATTGTGCTATTCAGACCATACTTAATTGCACCCAGGCTGTGGTCTATATTCTGCATTCTATACCCTAGGCATACAGAAACCAGTGCCCATCAACATTTTTAGGCAAGTTGGGAAAATGCAACACATTCCCTGCTCTCAAGGAGTTGCTTACATTCAGCTTGGAACTGGGGGATAGATGGTATCGTTTTTATTTTTTATCTATTTGGTTTTTTTAGGCAATTTGGGTTAAGTGACTTGCCCAGGGTCACACAGCTAGTAAGGGTCAAGTGTTTGATCCGAGGCTGGATTTGAACTCAGGTCCTCCTGACTTCAGGGCTGGTGCTCTATCCACTACACCACCTAGCTGCCCCTAGATGGTGTCATTTTTTAGTTGTGTCTAACTCTTCGTGACCCCATTTGGAGTTTTCTTGGCAAAGATTTTGGAGTGGTTTGCCATTTCCTTCTCTAGCTCATTTAATGAGGAAACTGAGGCAAACAGGGTTAAGTGATTTGCCCTCGGTCACACAGCTAGTAAGTGTCTAAGTCCAGATTTAAACTAATGAAGATCTTTATAGATCTATCAGGTGCCTGGTGTGCCACCTAGCTGCCTGGGTATCAGGTAGGAGGAATGACCCGTACAAATGTATGGTAGGATGAAAGGACAGGATGAGACTAAAACAGTCTTATTTGTCTCCATCACAAAGTTTGAGAAACCAAGGTAGATCGGAGCCACACAGCGAAGAGCCTTGAATGCCAGGCTAAGGAAGTGGTATCTTATCCCAAAGACAACAAGGCACAGGAGCAGGAGGGTGGCATGGCTGGGGTTCTCTGCCTTGGGAATATGAATTTGGCCATTGGATGGAGAATGGATTTGGGTAAAGGGTGAGACTGGAGGCAGATCAATTAGAAGGCCAATGCAATGGTCCGGGTGAGAGGTGACAAGGGCCTGAATTAGAAGGATGGGCCGTGAGAATGGAAGGAAGAGAAAGGAATTGATTGTGAAAGACATGGAGGTAGACGGGCAGTAAAGTACCCCATACTAATGTGATGTGGCATCAAACACCTTCATCTGTCATTCACTCACTCGTTTATACTCACTCCAGCATTGATTGTCTGCGTGTTATTCACTGCATTCTAAGTGTTCTATTAGCCGGGACATCCGAAGGAGAAGGGAAGTCTGGTGCCACCGGCCCGTGGTGTCCAGTTATTCCTAGCCTTCTTTGGCTTGGAACAGGCCTTTCCACCTGTTTCCTCCCTCCCTTTCCTTATTCTCCCAGAGCTAACCATTCTGTCACCCTCTTTAGGGCTCTTTGAGCCAATGGATATGACGTATGAACTCAACAGAAACAATCAGACAGACCCATCCCTGACCGAGATGGTGGAGGTGGCCATCAGGATCCTGAGAAGGAACCCCAAGGGCTTTTTCCTGCTGGTAGAAGGTAGGAGCCTGATGGAGCCCTGCCATCCCTGGGCTTGAATAATACTACACGTTCAATCTTTACTTGTTGAGCAATTATTAGGCACCTACAATGTGCTAGTTTCTTAGAGAAGTTCAATGGGCTGCTAGTGGACTGGGCAGATCAGGGAGAGGCTGGCTTTTAAGGCAGATTTTAAAGCACAGGTAGAAGGAAATTCAACAGCTGAAGCAAGGGAGGGAGGCAATTCCTGAAATAGCAAACAGTAGAGAGGCAGAAGAATCAAGGTGTGTGTACTTGGGTGACAGAGTTGTCCACTTTTTAAAAAATCTCACTCTGTGTTCTAAGGTCCCTCCCAGCTCTGACTCTAAAAACCCCTGGGGATGGCCCCATGAGACTCCCATAGAATCAAGAGTCTCCCTACTGTTTGGAAACCAATTGGAAGCCACCTCAATCTCAATAGGATTAGATTTGGAAAGCCCCCTCCCCAAGTGCTACTCTCCCTTGACCAAGGAAATGGCTACCAAGGTCTATAGCTTGGATTGAATGACTGGTGATGGGTCTCCCTGGGCTGGGGGTTTGTAAGGGACATGTTAGAGAATGCCACCCCAACAGACTATGTCCAATTGGCACAGTAAGGGAGGCTGCCTTATTTGGGATACTTAAGGTGTACTTAACACAAGGATGACTGGTCACGTCCCTCCCATGCCTGGGCCCTGTCAGCCCTACCACACAAGAAAGGCGGGCCGCTTGGGTTACTGGCTCTTTACCCAAACCAAAGGGTTAGTGCTAAGCTCAGCGGTTTCAGCTCTGGCCACAGAATCCTCCCGCCTCTGTGGAACCTACGGTGGAGCGAGGGGTCTCCCAAGGGAGTGTGGCCCCCTTTGTAGTGGGATCCAGGAATGTGGGGCCAACATGGCCTTGCTTGGAGCTGAAGACCACAACAAAGGGAGCCAGGCCCTCTCAGCTCAACCGCTGCTGGACCAACTCCTTGGGCTGGCCAGGCCGCCTGGAGCCTGAGGCTGGCAGCAGCAGGAGGAGGCAGAAGGGAGCCCTGAGGGACAGCAACAGTGTGGAGAGTTTGCTCTGGGCCCTGCACTGAGCCGGGGGATGGAAGAATAAAATCTGAGACAAGCCCTCTCATGGATGTCAGCTCATCTTGGAAGAATGGTTTCCTTTTCCCGAGCAAATGGTTTCCAGGAATCCTAAATTATTATAGCTAGGAGGGCCATTAGAACACAGGATGTCAGAGCTGGGAGGACCTTTAGAACAGAGAATGTGAGAGCTGGGAGAGCCCTTAGAACACATGGTGTCAGAGCTGGGAAGGGTCTTAGAACACAATGTCAGAGCTGTGAAAATCCTTTCCAACACTAGATACCTGTGTATATGTGATCATCGGCGAGGTCCTTATGGGTCTCTTCCCTTTGATACCCCAGGGGGCAGGATCGACCATGGCCACCACGAGGGAAAAGCAAAACAAGCTTTGCATGAGGCGGTGGAGATGGACCGAGCCATCGGGCAGGCCGGCACCCTGACCTCGCTGGAGGACACCCTCACTGTGGTCACAGCTGATCACTCCCACGTCTTCACCTTTGGTGGCTACACTCCCCGGGGGAACTCCATCTTTGGTAGGTTGGGCTGGGCTGGGGTGGAGGGCAGAGGCCACAGGGACTCAGGCACAGGAGAAAAGGGAATGGGACCTGACCTTGCTCTCATCCGAGTGGCTGACCCAGTCTTGCCCCTCTTTAATTCGAGGTAACATGGCAATATAAGGGAAAAGCACTGAATTTGGAATCAGGAGCCTGGCTTCATGTTGAAGTTCAGCTGCTTCCTCCCTGTAAGACCTTTGGGGGACTGGGGGGGTGGGGCACGCTCTTCTCCTCTCTGGATCTCAGTTTCCTGAGAGGGCTGGACAATCTTCTAAGGCCTCTTCCAGCTACACACCCTAGGATCCTAATTCAATCCAATAGCCTACTAAACACCCCCCATGCACAGTCCTAGGCTTTGTGCTAAGCTCCTACAGACAGGCGAGGTAGGAATGACCCAAACCCTGCTCTCCATCCTCTTGTTCTGCAGCCTGCAAGTCAGCAAAGGGGCAACTGGCTGGACAGGCCTCTAGTGAAATGGGGCAAGGGGCTATAGTAGAAAGGGCACTGAATTGGGTGTCAGGCCCAGGGCTCAGCCCCAGCTCCGCTTTAGCCTAGTTACGTGTGACCTTAACAAACCACTTCCCTGTGTGAACCTCAGTTTTCTCCTAAGATGAGGGGATTGGACTACTGGATGTCTAAGGGCCCACCCAGCTTGGAATCTTATTGGATTCAGGGGTCAGGAGGGATACACAACATATAGAGGTGATTTAAGGAGAGATGTAACTCTTGGTTTCTAGACAGATATCAAACAGGAAGGAGGGGACAGGTGGATGAGTATTCACTCATCTTTTGAGCTATTTATTAATTATTAACTATTATTATTTATTTACCATCAATTGATCATTTATTAAACATTCTTTATGTGCACCCTGTTAAGCACTGTGGATACAAATACAGGCAAACAAAGACTGTCCCTGCTTTCAAGAAGCTTACATTCTAAGAGGGGGAGACAACATTTCAGGGAGGGGGGCAGCCAGGGAGGAGTGTCACTTGACTGCACAGGATAAGGTGAAGAAAACTCACCTTGTCTTGGGTGAGGTAAGTGGAGGCTGGGGAAGGGAGCTGGAGACATGGAAAAGTGGAGGGAGAAGAGGAACTAGCCTGGGGGCATTAGGATGATCTGGAGAAAGGGCGGAGAAGTTGAAGGGACTGTTGGGAGGAATTGGGCCTGGGAATTCTGGCTCTCTGATTCTGAATTCTCCCTACTGCAGGGCTTGCTCCCATGTTGAGTGACACAGATAAAAAGCCCTTCACCTCTATCCTGTATGGCAATGGACCTGGCTACAAGGTGGTAGCTGGCGAGAGGGAGAATGTTTCCACTGTGGACTATGGTAAGACCCATAGACTGGGAAGGGATTCCCTTGATGGGTTCAGAAGATGCACTCTGGTGGATGAGAGGTGGGATGGAATGTGAGATGCATTGGGAGAGAAGGGGCTCAGGGTAAAGATAGGGGGTTTCCACACAATATGTGAGCATAGCTATGCTTTCCAGATGTTGGTGTGAAGGGAAGGAGCTTTGTCCCTGGCCTCAAAGATTAGGGAAATTCCAAATTCCAAATCTCCACACCTCACTGTCCAATTTTGTCTTCTCTCAGCTCATGACAATTACCAGGCCCAGTCAGCGGTACCCCTGCGCCATGAAACCCACGGAGGTGAAGATGTAGCTGTGTTTGCCAAGGGCCCTATGGCTCATCTCCTGCATGGCGTCCATGAACAAAACTACGTTCCACACGTCATGGCCTACGCATCCTGCATCGGGGCCAACAAGGACCATTGCCAGCTATCATCAGCAGCCAGGCTGGGCTCACAACCAGCACTGTTCCCAGGCCTTCTGACCGTTTTCCTCCTGCTCAGCCTCTTCTTCTAAGGCCAGCTGTATCCAAGCCCAGGACAGCCGGCTTACCACCCATAGCTGGGGCCCCTTTCTGACACTGCCCTTGATGCTCACTGGGCCTGAAGACTCAACCCCCATCATCAACCTTGCTTCCGGAGCGCCTCAGGGCAAATGTCCCATGTCAACATGGGGCAGAGTGATCAGGTGGCAGTGGTTGAAGGCCCCACTGCTGCCCATGGCTACAGGCTGCCATGCTCCAACCCCTAGAAGGAACTTAGGGGACGCCACAATACCGAAGTCTGAGGCCCAACTCGTTGCCCTCTGGGGCATGAACTTTAAAGCAACAGAATCCCCAACAAGGGGGAACAGGGAGCAGTGCAGGCCTGTTCCATCAATCAGCTGGGTCTTTCCCTACAACTACTCTGGAGAAAAAATGAACAGGACAAGCACCCTGACTGACACATGGGTCCCCTCACTCCCGTGGTCCCCTAGGGAAAACTCAGACCTGGGGAAATGCCCAGAGCCTCTTATTTTGAAAACAGATCTTCTTTTACCCTCGAGGATGCTGATGGTTTCTTCCTCACCACATGGTGTGAAACAGATTCCTCACCCTTGCCCTGGGGAGTCACCTTGTCCCTTCCTCTGGCCCCACATTTTTAGCCCATGAGCCTCACCAGGAGGGCAAGTGGTACCTGCAGAGGGCCTAGCTTGTCTTCCTTGGCAGTACCAGGACATGCCAGTCCCCTGGGCTTAGGCTAGGTGTAGGGGACGGACGTGGTTCCAAAGGAGGAGCAGTCTCTTCTGTAGGTCTGCAGCCTGGATCTTCACCCTCTAGAGAGGACAAGGCCCAGCTCCCTCCAGCCTTCATTGTCAGTCCCGCTGGGGCAGTGAGCTAGGAGGGTAGAAGGAGAGGTGAGGGCCCAGCAGTGACTTGGGTCAGACAGACTACCCCTTCTCCCTCTCTTTCCCTCTCCCTCCACTCTAGTCCCCTAATGAAGAGCCGGCAGACTTGGTATGACTGGAGTGGAAAGAGAGGGACAGATGAGCCCTGGGAGGGAGGGGAGGAGCAGGGATAGGGCTGGGCTTCTGGGATGGCCATCTCTCTTCTTCCTTGCTGATGTTATTGCCATTTTTAATCTCCCACAAAATCCTGTTAATAAAAAAATTTTTCCAAAATGTTCTGAGAGCAGAGCCCAGTCCTTGTGGGCAGCGAGGTGGACAGAAGAAACAGTCTGCTCTCCCAGGTCTGCCTTCCGCTGCTATGTTTTTCAGGAGAGGGAGGGGGTGGTTGTCATGACAATAGGCTCAGCCTGCCCCCCTAGGGAAGGGGAGTCCTGGGGCTGTGGGTTGCAACCCGTGGGTAGTGAGTCAGTTTCCCAAATCCTAGCTCCTAAATTCTTAGATCTGGAAATCTGAAATCACCTAAGCCAACAGAAACCGAGGCTCAGAGAGAAATGAATTAAACTAAATCACGCAGTAAATGACAATTAGGAGAAGCCTTCTGTTGGAAACCTGAGTTGGCGGTGCGGGTGGGGGTCAGCCACAGCTGACCCGGGTCTTTGAGACCCCAACCCTCCTCCGTGGGGCAATGAGATTTTAAAGTGAAAAAATGTGCCGGTTTGGGAAATGGGAGCCCTGGACAGCCAGTCAGTCCTCGGCAACTTTGGTGTGAATTTGGGCAAATCCCTTCCAGTGCCAGAGCCAGGTCCCTCAGATTCTAGGGGCAGCTGATGTAGAAGTGGGGGAGGGGGAAGCTAAGGTTCTGGTATCAGGTCCAGGGTTCAATCCCAACTCTGCTTCAACCTGCTTACGTGTGACATTGACAAATCACCTCATTGTCTGAACCTCAGTTTTCTCCTCTAAAATGAGGAGATCGGACTACCAGGTGTTATGGGCCCACCCAGCTTGGAACCTTTTTGGATTCAGGGGGCAGGAGGGATACACAACCTACAGAGATGGTTTAAGGATAGACATAACTCTTGGTTTCTAGACAGAGATCAGGTAAGAGCTGTAAGAGGTGATAACAGCTGTCCCTGGAGCCCTCCCAGCCCTTCCCTCTTCTTACCTGTCTTTTTCCTGATCCAGATTGAGAAGATAATGAGTAAATAAGCATTCTTCCTCTGGAACAGTATTGACCTGGGAGTTGACCCTGGGTTCAAATCCCAACAAATTACTAGGTGGCGTGACCCTAGGCATAGCATCATAGATTTAGAGCTGGTGGGACACTTGGAGGTCATTAGGTCCAAACCCCTTATTTTACAAAGAAGGAAACTGAGTCCCAGAGAGGTCATAGAATCATAGTTCTAGAGCTGGAAGGGATCTTGCAGGTTGTCTGGTAAAATTCCCTCATCTTACAGATGAGGAAATGGCATAGAAGTGAATTGATATGGTTCTATGTGGCAGGGCTGGCCTTTGAACCCAGGTCCTGTGACCCCAAATTCCATGCACATGTTCAATTGTAACATGCTGCCTGTCTCCTGAACTTCATTTTCTTCATCTGTCAAATGGGAACAATACTTGTAATCCCTCACAGGGTTATTGTGGGGTAAACACTAAAGGCATGTGAATTAGTCTTACCACTTATCATAATTATAGCTAGCATTTATATACACAAAGTACTTCACAAATTCATATTTTTGTCCCCACAACAATGTCATGTGGTCCTATTACTCCCATTCTACAGATGAGGGAAATGAGGCTCATGGAAGCCCACTTTGCCCATAGTCACAGAGGTCCGGGTGTCCGGGCCAGAGCTCTATCTCTTGGGCCACTCAGTTGCCTCTGATATGATCAAATGTATCTGAAAAGTCAAGAAGAAAGACTGGAAGAATGGGAGGAGGGCTCAGGGAAGGCTTCCTGGAGAAAGGGGCACAGATTGGAAGGGATAATGGGCCTGCTGTTGGGCAGGGAGAAGGCTCGCTCCTGGGCAGCATACCAAGGCCCCGGGACTGCGTGATGACTCGGAGTCCCTCAGCCCAGCTGGCTGCATTTGGTGACCAGATGGAACTTGTGTCTTTCTGGGCCATGTTTACTCCACAATCTCTAGGGGAAGAAAAGGAAAAATTGTTGCCATGGCTACCTCAGGAAAAGCAGAGGGAGTCTTTCCTGAGGGATGAAGATGTCCTCTGCTGCCCAGGAAGGGGGTGCACATCTAGAAGATCATGGAGAGGAACACCAGCCCTAAAACTGAGCTTCAGCAGCACTTAAGAGCTTAGAACAGAGAATGTATGAATTAGAAGGACCTTAGAACACAGGATGCCAGAGCTGGGAGGGGCCTTAGAACACAGGATGTCAGAGCTGGGAGGGGCCTTAGAACACAGGATGTCAGAGCTGAAAGGGCCCTTAGAACACAGAATGTCAGAGAGGAGCCTTAGAACCCAGCATGTCAGAACAGAGATGGGCACAGAACATGAACAGAACACAGAACAGAACATAGAATGTCAGAGCTGAGAAGGAAGTCATCTAGTCCAAGCCCCTGATTTTATTGATGAATAAAATGAAGCCAAGAAAGAGAGGGGAAGTGACCTGCCTCAGGTCTCATTAGAACTGTCACTAGAACCCAGGTCTCAGCTTCCAGTTTCAGGATCTTGCCAACACACCAATGCTGTCCTTACTTCTCCCAAATGTCTTTAGCTCTCCTCTCTCTTTCCCTCCCTCCCTCTCTCCCCCCCTCTCTCTCTCCCCCTCTGCCTTACTATACCCCAGCTTTCTGTTACTGCATCCTCCCTCCCTATGTCCAGATGTCCAAGGAGGATCACAAGCCTAGTAATGGCTGCTACCAATTCTATTGCACCCCCTAAGGTTTACAATGTTTACCTCAGTGTGGGCCTGCTCATTTTGCAGAGGAGGAAACAGTCTCTGAGCAGGGGAATGATTGGGCACAAGGATGTGTAGCTGGGAAGTGTCAGACCCTAGACTCAAGCCCAGGTTGCACACCTGTCATGGGTAGCACCCCCAGCCCCACCTTGGTCCTCCGCCCCATTCCAAGGATCAGGCTTCTGACAGGAGGCTAATCCTCGCTAGTTGCTTCCCCCCCCCAAACATCCCCTTGACTTGTAGCCAGGCCTGTATCATGTTACCTGAGTCTCAGTCTCCTGAGGTTCCCTAGGACTCTCTCCAGAGGAGAGAGAAGGCAGAGGCCACCCGAGTGCCTGGGATTTGGCAGAGCCCCGTGGGGCCGGTGGCCACTCCCGGTGCTTGGCGAGGCCCAACCCGGCCTGTGGTCTGGCCCAGCCAGCTCAGGAGCTGCCCAAAGGGAACCACTTTCTGTCTTTGTGGGGAAGCTGACTTGGAATCTCTAGAACAAACAAGCAAGCCACAAGTGCCTGTGGAGGGGGTGGGGGGAGTGGACTAGAAGCAAGGGGAGGGCTTGCATCATTGCTCTGGCTGCCTGGGGTTTTGGCAGCTTCACAGGCTCAAAGCCCCCTACCAAGCTCACTCCAGCTTACTCCAGACTATAAATGACTACGGTCCACTACACAGGCTAACCCCTTCACTTTTCAGGTTAGGCAACCGAGGCCCAGAAAAGAGGAATGTCTTGCCTGAGGTCACGCAGCTAGCGAGTCACAAAGCCAGGACCTCTGAGAGCAGACTCAGGGCCACACCATGCCACAGCTGGCTTGACTCTCATCAGCAGACCTCTCTGCCTTCAGTGGCCGAAGGCCAGCTCCCCTGCATCTGCTGGGGAGTGGGGTGGGAAGGTATAGCAGGAGCTTAGCCTATTCTGAGAAGGAGCTGAAGGAGAGGGAAAGAAGAGAGCCCCAGGGCTCCAGAGGCAAAGAGGGGAAAGAGCTTTGCCAGTTGGGGGGAAGGGAGGAAACAGCTACTTCCCACATCTGGCTGCCAGACCTTGGCAAGAAGGGGGAAGGGCTCAGACAGGGATGAGACTAGCCTGTAGGTGACCTGGGAGGTGTTTGCCCTTGTGCTAGTCACTTTCCCCCAATTTCTTCATCTGCAAGAGTTTCAATTAGTAGAGCATTGAGGTCCCTTCCAGCTCCGCCATTTGGGAATTCTGGGACCACACTCAGCCTGGCAAGGGAATCCAAGGGAGGTATGTGTGCCTGAGGGAGTGGGGTGGGGGGTGGAGGATTCCTTTCTCCAGTCAGTGTTTAAGGCATCGGCCCGAGTTAGGAAGGGGGGCCCCCTTCCCTCCAGCCAGAGAGCTGCTGGGATGGCTCAGGGAGGTCTAGGACCACCCCTGGGAACCCCGCAGGGAACGGCCGGGCTGGACAGCACCATCTTGCTGATTCAGAATGACCAGGGGAGGCCAGCCTAACTTCACAAAGCCCTCAATTAGAGAACAACGGGAAGAAACATGGTGTTATTCCTTCCCAGGACACAGCCCATCATAAGCTAAGATAGACATGGTTACTAATAGGAAAAAAATAGCCAGTCCCAATAAGCCCACATAACATAATAACATATCAGCAACAGAAAGGGTCTTTTAACATTCAAGAGTTGTTTGCTGGCCCAGAAACCAAAAGCACATTACAGGAATGCACTCCCCCCACCATCTCCATGCTCCCTCTGTCTCCGCCTGCTGAAATCCATCCTGTCTTCCCAGGCCCGGCTCGAGGAAGCCTTCCCCAATCTGCCCAACTAAAAATGGTTGGTCCTCCTTCACCTTTCCTTATAAAATGCTTTTGTGCATTTACTCATGGTGGGGAGACTCTGGAATTAGAAGACCTGGATTTGAATTCTACTTCAGCTGTATGACCTTGGGTGAGTCACTGTGCCTTTGTCAGTCTCGGTTTGCTCATCTGTAAAACATAGGTATATTTGCTTGCCTCAAAGAACATGCTGGGATATGAAAGGCAGTATGGTGTGGTGGATAGCGAGCCATCCTTTTGGTCAGAAAGACCT